TGCTTTTGGCTGTCTATGCATGATAAGGTGGTCCAAGAGTGGGTAGTGGCCTTTGCCTGGTAGGTTGCTGCACAAGGTATGGAAGTGGCTGGGCCATGTGAGCACTGTTGGGTTTCTGTCTCCCCTCAGGTAGCACACACAAAAAAAACAACGAACACAAACAACAGCCAGAAAACAAATAATTAAAAATGAGATGGAACAAGCAAGGGAAAGCAGATAAACAATAGCAAGAAAATAATTTTAATTACTCAACTGGAAGAAGAAATGAAGAGAAAAGTTAAAAACAGCAGCGGTAGAGAAAAAAGTAGGAAAATAAAGTATGAAAAACAAGAAGGGAGAAAATAAAAGGGAAAGAACAGAGGGGAGGGACAAAAGGGAAAAGAAGCAGAAAAAGAGAACATGGAAAAGCAGAGAATGAAAAACCAAAAGAAAACGGCAAGGAGAGGGAAGAAAATTTAAAGCAAAGAAAAAAGAATACTGTGGCAAGGCATGGAGTATGGGTTGGCATCCTCTACCACCTAAAGCTTTCACCTGGTGGGTTGGGAAGTCCTAAATTGAGTTCCTGTTGGCCTGTATTTGTCTGGGGTCGGGGTACCTGATTGGAAAGTAGTTTGTGCCAGATGGTAGCTGAAGTCAAGGTGCTCTCTTTCAGGCGGAAATCTTTCAGGCTCTGAGCATGACAATGGGCAGTGTGGCTGGTTAAATAGTGTGTTAGTCTGGATTGACTAAAGAAACAAATCTAAAGACACTCATATGTATGTGTAAGACAGAGCTTTATATAAAAGAATAATTGTGTTTTAAGAAAACATCCCAACCCAGTCCAGATCGGGTCCCTAAGTCCAATATTAGCCCCTATGTCCGATACTAGTCCATTAATTCCTCTTCAGACTCACACAGCACATGCAATGATGCCAAGTGCAGGAAGATCATAGACCGGTGGGTGGAAAGCCTTGTGGATCCAATGCCAGTGGAAGCCTCACAGCGCTGGCTCCTCCAGCTCTCTGAGTGTTCCCTCCACAGGAAGTGAAGCAAAGAGAGAGTGTGGCCTGCCTCCAGGAAGAGTGAGGGGAAGTTCCCAGAATCCTCAAAGAAGGCCATGCCCACAGGAGGCATCATCAAACTCTGACCTGATTAACAGGCTA